CCCTGCACCTACTGCTACAGACGGTGCGGCCAGCACTGCTGCTTGACGCAGCCGTGCTCCTTCACCACCTGACAAGGCGTGGCGCTGCTGCATCGTACGGCGTGCGGCGCTGAAGCGGCTGACGACGCCGCGGACGCTGCTACAGCGATCGACAACTCTACTGTCATGCAGAAATGGAGATTTTGAACTACAGCCCCGCTCGCTTGCTTGCTGGCGCTCTGTTGTTCGAGGCTCCCCTTCCCTTCTCTGTTATGCGGATCGCGACTTCGTTCGTTTGTCTACAGTAAGATGCTGTTTGATTATGCACGCGACTTATGATTTCACAAAGTGCTACTACTACATGCTAAATATGCTACTCTACATACAAACATGCTACTCAAATTCTGCTCTCGTAACGTCAGTGTACCAGCGAGCGGTAGGAGCGGGACTATCCGTCAAATGTTTGGCGAGATCTGAAGCATCAGTGAACTAGCGAACAATAGGAGCGAGAACATCCACCAGATGCTCTACGAGATCCGAAGCATCGCATCGGCACGGATGATCACGTTTAATCTATCGAGGCTACATATATATATATATATATATGTATATATATATATATATATATATATATATATATATATATATATATCACATGAAATGCCCCGTGCGCCACATTTTAAGAAGAGCGCGAGTGATGATCGTCCTGCAAAAATACTTTGCCTCCCGAATTTGTGAAAGATGTGGAGACCACGTCTTCAAACAGGTTTTCTTGAATTTCAGCTTTATGACAATGATGTTGCGTGAGGTTTGTTTAACTGTTAATACACGGTTTAAGACGAATCCTGCCGATTTCGTTCGTCGGCTGCGATCATCGGCCGGTTCCGCTGTTTCTGACCGGTGGGACATGCCCCCCCCCCCACACTTATGCCTCATGTACCCCCAATTTGTGAAAAATTGGGCTTTGTCTCGTCCGGTTTTGCCAACATTCAAAAAAGCGTTCTGAGGCTCAGCGCCTGTTTCACTCGCCTCGTAGAGGTTTCTTCTGATGGCTGAGGGCTGTAATTGGTTAGGAAGCAGAGAACGAGGATTTTTTAAACCATGGAAGCTTTTGAACAACAGCTTTATTCTTTCACGGAAAGCATAGTATTTTTCGCTTGACAGAAGTATGGAAGTGTACTCACCTGACGCACCAATATCTTGTTTGGCGACAGCACACATCTTCCCTTTTTGCATGACCCCTGCGGCGATATTTTATCAAATGCAGGCGAGTGGCCTAAATCAGGAGCCACGGGAGCTTTAGAAGTTATGATAATCTTTCGCGAAGCGTGGAAGCATTTACATTCGCCAGCGGTATGTGAGCGTAACCAGCTGACACCGTGACGCGGTCTTTGGCTGATGATGCTGATATTGTTGGCACGACCCTTATACATTCCATTAGTAAAAGCTGGAGGGCGACCCGAGCGTAGTGGTCAAAATAGTTGTTTTTTCTGTGAAAATTTGTATTGTCGTGTGGGAAGGGTATGACCTTGAGCATCTGAAAGGACGGTGGGAGGGCAATCAGCTGATGCCGTATCAGCCTTTTTGGCCGATTGCCCATATTTGACCGGTGCGACCAGATAAGGTCACATCAATGGTGGAGGAGGCCGACGAAGGTGGAATGGCAAAACGATGGCATCCATAAATTATGCTGATGGACCGCTCGATAGTGCATTGCTGAACGCGGTTTACCATTCGGGCGATTGTGGATAAATTGTGGTAGATATTCAAAAAAAGTTTGTCGCGAACGGACGGTGCGACCGTGCGCACTCAGCAGAATGGCTGGCTTGCGGTCATCACCCCTAACTGGGCCGTCAGGCGTCACGTGGTTTGCGCTCCTGTTCAGTGAGTTTTGGAATTGGATTACTCCCAAAGAGCAATCGCATTTGTTTCCTGCTGCCAGAAAACGCTCGTCGTTTTTCCCCTTTACTCCACTCGCCTAGCCCCGGAGGTTACCAATGCTTTTTTGGCAGGTCTGATATTTAGTTTGTCCAGTTTTTGTCGGCATATTTCATAAAACATCCGTTGTTCCCAATCCGTAACCTACTAGCTGATTGTCTTGCGTCTATAGGTCACGTGCTATCTTTTTACTACGCTTATGACGCGCTTGCTGCCGAGCAGCATTCCTACTACCACATCAAGACTCATTTCCCTGTTGAAAATACCTTGATCATTTTTTTTTTGTACGCGCTACTTACTCGGTTGCCAAATCTGCAAACTCCGCCTGCCAACAGTTCATCGCTGAGTCTGAGAAGCTCGGGTCTCGTCGGCGCGTGGCTGATGTGACAGCGGCCGCAATGATACTATAATCACTTCTAACGTCCGCATTCATGCTGGCATATGCGTTAAAGTTATAGAATAGTGCCTCGCTGACAAACGCATGATCTATATGTGGTTGCTCTGGTGGTCTCATTGCTGCTATGCATATGCCCTTGTAGAAGGGTTTCAATTTTTCCACACATGATTAAGAAAAAACGGTTAATAATATTCGAGTCAGTTACTTCTAGCTAAAACATGCTATATTTGAGTTCCGCGTGTTTGGTCCTAAATGAACTTTGCAGCCTCGGGGTATGAGTGCGTTTAGTTGGGGAAGAGTACAAGCACATCTTGAACCCCACGCAAGAATATAACCTTTTGTTCTTGGACACCAACCACTGTCTCATAAACATCCAAAATATCAAACCCAACAGAGGAAAGGTCATCTGGCGTCTGCCTTAAGCCCACAGAAGGCCGTGGTTTGACTCGATCCTCGGAGAGGGCCGTCGTTTGACTCGATCCGTGGAGATGACCGTCGTTTGAGTCTATCTTCGGAGAATGTCGGCGATTGATTACATCCTCAGCGAGGCCGTACGCAGGTGGTACGGTATCACCACAGGAAACTGTCGTGTTACACGGTCTCGGCAGAATGCCACTATGCCACCCGGTCTCGGCAGGAGACCGCCGTGTTACCCAGTCTCGGGCAAGAGACCACCGTGTTACCAGGTCTCGGAAGGAGACCGTCGTGATACCCGGTCTCGAAAGAAGACCGCCGTGTTACCCGCTCTCGGAAGCAGACCACCGTGTTACCAGGTCTCGGCAGAAGGCCGTCGTGTTACCGGGTCTCCGCGGAAGGCCGTCATGTTACCCGGTCTCGGCATAAGGCCGCCGTGTTGCCCGGCCTTCGCAGAAGGCCGTCATGTTATCCGGTCTCGGCAGGAAACCGTCGTGTTACCCGGTCTCGGAAGGAGACCGTCGTTTCACCTGGTCTCGGCAGGAGACTGTCGCGTTACCCGGTATCGGCAGGAGACCGCCGTGTCACCCCGTCTCGGCAGTAGACCGCCGTGTTACCCGGTCTCGGCAGCAGACCGCCGTGCTACCCGGTCTCGGCAGGAGACCGTTGTGTTATCAGATCTCGGCAAGAGGCCGCGGTTGGACTCAGCTGCAACAGAAGACTAGCGTTTAGCACTGTCCCCACAGGTGCCACAGAAGGTAATTGTTTTCTCTCATCTCCACAGACGACTGATGCAGATCCCTGATGTTGGGAAGCACAGACTTCCAAAAAGCTTCACTCCATTCACATTCCCGACGGAAGGACGGAGGGGTCACCCGCCCCAGACGCCGGTCAGCACAGGAGCTGTCCGCTCGCACGGTGAGCCGCGGCGCAGCGGCCCACCGCAGCTCGACGTACGGCTCATAGTCGGCCCAAGTCCCAAAACAGACGGCTTATGCAGTACACTCCACCATCACAAGCAGCACAGTCGGCACCACCATCACAAACGGTACAGTCCGCTCCACCATCACGAGCAGTAGTTTGCAGTACACTCCACCATCACAAGCAGCACAGTCGGCACCACCATCACGAACGGTACAGTCCGCTCCACCGTCACCAGCAATACAGTTCGCTCCGCGTTATCATGAGCAGTACAGTCCGCTCCTCCACCATCACGAGCAGTAGTCTGCAGTACACTCCACCATCCCAACCAGCACAGTCGGCACCACCATCACAAGCAGCACAGTCGGCACCACCATCACAAACGGTACGGTCCGCTCCACCATCACCAGCAATGCAGTTCGCTCCGCGCCATCATGAGCAGTACAGTCCGCTCCACCATCACAAGCAGTAGTCTGCAGTACGCTCCTCCATCACAAGCAGCACAGTCGGCTCCACCATCGCAAACTGTACAGTCCGCTCCAACATTACAAGCAGGAGAATCGGCTGCACCATCATCGCGGAACCACAATAGACTTTGTCTTCATCAGAGCGGCACCGGTGATCAGAGCAGCACCGGGCCGTCCTCGGCCCTCAGAGCGACACCGGGCCGTCCTCAGTAACGAGAGCGACACCGGGCCGTCCTCGGTCCCCAAGGGCGGCAACGGGCCATCCTTGGTAACCAGAGCGACACCGGGCCGTCCTTGGTAACCAGAGCGACACCGGACCATCCATGGTAACCAGAGCGACACCGGGCCATCCTTGGTGAACAGAGCGACACCGGGCCATCCTGGTAACCAGAGCAGCACCGGACCGTCCGTGGTCCCCAGAGCGGCGCTGGGCCGTCCTTGGTCCCCAGAGCGGCGCCAGGCCGACCTTGGTCCCTAGAGCGACGCAGAGCCATCTTTGGTAACCAGAGCAGCACCGGGCCATCCTTGGTAACCAGAGCGACACCGCACCATCCATGGTAACCAGAGCGACACCGGGCCATCCTTGGTGACCAGACCGACGCCAGGCCATCCTTGGTAACCAGAGCAGCACCGGACCGTCCATGGTCCCCAGAGCGGCGCCGGGCCGTCCTTGGTCCCCAGAGCGACACCGGGCCGTTCTTGGTAACCAGAGCAGCTCCGGGCCGTCCTTGGTAATAAGAGCAGCACCGGGCCGTCCTCGGTACCCAGAGCGGCGCAGGGCCGTCCTTGGTCCCCAGGGCAGCACCGGACCGTTCTCGGTCCCCAGAGCGAGATCGGGCCGTCCTCGGTCCCCAGAGCAGCACCGGGCTGTCCTTGGTAACTGCTCAGAGCGGCGCAGGGCCGGCCGGGGCGTCCAGCTCCGTGTTGCGGCGCACCTCGTCGGCCGGCAGCCGGTGCACGTCGCGCAGGTGGCGGCGAAGGCTGCGCACCGTGCTGTAGACGGCACCGCAGACGTGGCAGGCGGTCCGTCCCAGATGGTGGAGCCGATGGTCGGTCAGAGAGTCGCGCCGCCGGTACACGTGACCGCACAGGTCACACTGGTACCGGCACCGCTCGCCCTCTGGAACAGCGGACAGGCCGGCCGACTGAGCCGCCGCTCAAGGCCGCTCAGAGTCGCTCAGAGCCGCTCAGAGCCGCCGCTCAGAGCTGCCGCTCAAGGCCGCTCAGAGCTGTGGCGAGCGTGCACGGACATGCGATGAGGGGCTGGGCCGATGGGTGAGGTTCTGGGCCTGCTCGGAGACAGAGACGCACTATGAGCTCCCGGGAAACATGACAAACAGGAACCAAGTACGAAATGTCACAGCGTGCAGTTAGCATGCAGCTGCGACTTACCAAGCAACACGCCGTGGTACGGCCAGTTCTGAGACCACATCAGGGGTCCTCGGACTTGTGACAAGTGCTGGCCGGCTGTGTTGCCTGCATGCATGGAACTGCCCAGCTTTGCTTGAAGCGACAGTGACGAGCCCTGCAGGCGGATCGTGGCCTACACAGAGGGACAAATCTTGCACGAGCTTTGTCTGAGCTGCACTTGGCAAGGACTGACCGCAAATCCATCACGTTATACAGTCGGTCAAAGGTATGCGAAAGGGGAAAACGATCCCGTGTGGGCTGCTTCAAATAAACACCGCCGACCAAAGGCAGATGCCATGCAAGGGCGTAATGGCCGAGTCGTTCGCGCATCGGACTCCCAGGTGAGGGTCCGGGTTCGAATCCCGGTCGGGCCATGACCGCTGAGAGCTGATGTGACCAATGCAGCTGGCTGGCGTTCCACAAAAGCGGTCTGAAAGCGTGCTTCCGGTCCATTTAAAAACAAGACACCATGCGGGTTGCCTACGGCGAGGTCGAAAAGTCTGAATGTTTGCATGGACTGTTCCGAATAATCTACAGCCCAGTTCTGATTCGGTGAGCACCTAAGTTCGCCAGGCGGCGCATGTAGGACCGAAACCGAACACAAACGGTTTCTTCTTAAAACGGCCTTGGACCCACCGAAAGAAACCGTTCGGTTGAGCCCATTATGCAGATAGCCTGCACACACTCTCCTAGTTATTCTGGTACTTCGTTTTCAAGTTTCCTACTCACGCCGCAATAATTCACCTAAGCTTTGCTCCTACTATGATCGCAAAAGCATGCCAACCCCACGTCGCGTATCGTTCATTATGGCTGAGTTATAACGACAGCGCCACGACCAAGGGCAAGCGTAGCAGTGCTATTATTTGAGGTTTTCGTGCTTGAGGTGACCAACTGTATTTAGGAATCGGAATGGTTCCGGCGTAAAAACTAACTAAACGCTCGTAGTACGCTCAATTCCATTACATGGTGATAAATAATCGAAGTGGACTGCGAGTTTGTGTTTTTCATCACAGTTGAAAATCGTTCTGCGCGAGGACGGTACTGCGTCACATCTATTGGACAGCCGAGAAGACGCATGTTCGAAAAAACGCGGTCTTTTACCGATTGCAGAGCTTATACTCGACATATGTGAGAAAGGCTCTCAGCTTCTAGTTTTGGCATTATACTTAGAGTTCTTGGTCCGAGTAATCGACCTTCGATATACCAGGATTCACTGGCTAAACGACGTTATGGCACTCGCATTAATTACAAACTCAAAGCTCAGCATTGACAATATAACAAATGTATGTGTAAGTAGCATGTCACAGCATTCTCAATATGAGCAATGTTTGCCTTATAACGTTGTGCAACCAGCATTTTAAAGGTCGAGATAATTTCAGCACAATTTATAACATAGTGCGATATAAATAATAGAACAGCATATCATATTGATGAGTCAGAGATAACCCTGAACTCACACTGCAGTGCTTTCAGCAAGTTTTGGGGGAGGCCTGTGGCTGTAGCCGGGGGACTGCCGCACGTCATGTTTGGGGTGATGGCCCTATCTGCTGCCTCCTCCTCCGCCGCGGCAGGACCCGCGATGACGCCACTGCCGACACATTCACATTCCCAGCACGGGTGAGCTGATTGGCAATGGCTTAGTGTCGTCGGTATCGGCCGACACGGCTTACTCGTCATCTGGCGTCAACTTTTTACGATAACCTATCGATATCCGATGATCTATCTCTGGTATCGATTTCCTATAAATCTAAATAATGTAAACATATATATATATATATAATATAATATATAAATATATAACATAAAAGTTAGTATAGGTAAACGAGTACGACGCCTCGTCTCGCAATTTAAGGAGTGGGAGATAAACGTCATTAGTGTGTGTCATCAGTTCTGAGATCAGCCAGTAGTAATACCTTATTCCTCGGAGAAAAACCAGGAGAATAGAGATATAGTTGGGTTAATATTTCGGCAGTATGCCTTTACCAAAACAGTAGCAGAAGAGATGGGTCGACTTGAGCCAGTTCCGCGGATGCATGCAAAACTACTTTACGACAGCATAAGCGTGATTTGACCAGGTTAGACACAACGTGTGTGTATATTACAGGGAGGTGACAAAGCCGGGAGCTGGCCACATTAACTAGTGATTTGCGAGCTCCTAGACCTACCGGGGGTGTTCACAAATTCCCCGGCATTGCAACTCCCTGGGTGGCGGGGCATTTCGAACATCACAGGCAGGACTTTCCAAAACTTTTTTCACTGTTTCAAAAACTTTCAGAAAGTTGGTACAAATCCCCGGGATCTATGCAAAACCCGACTTTAATTTCACTGGCTAATAGAATAACACCTAACTCGTCATGCATTCGGGAAGGGGGCACAGCAGACATATATTCCTCTAACGCATTAAATCGCGCGCCGCCTACCTGTTCGTCACTCGCTGTTTGCTGCAGTGGCCACCACATCTGAGGTGGACGCTGGTGTCATGTTGCACACATTAAATACTTTACCTCCACCCAAGGAATGCAATATTCATGCCTTTCTTGGGGCCTTGCGAGGCAGTTTTGTGGTTTTACTGAAACCACGCAGTCTGCCTATGTCGCTCAAATAAGGGGCTTTTGAGAATGATTCAAAACTTGTAACCTAAGCTGGACGTTCAACATTATAGAGCTGCCTATATTCCCTTGGATAATAGTCCAGCCTAAAGGCAAGGTCAGCTGCCAGGAAGGTGCGACGCATTGGGCGTCATGCGCTGAGATGGCCAAAGCCTGGTCCACGATAGCTCTGGCAACGATGGGCACAAGAAGCATACCTTTATGGCCGTCTTGCACTGAAGAGTCAGCGCTGTTATCAGTTTGTCAAGGATGTCTGAGGTAAATGATATTCTGTGTGCTTCGATGCAATGAGTTACATTACAGCAGTTCAAACGGATCAGCAATGATTGTGATCGTTGTAGGGCATATTCAAGCTGAAGAAGATGATGATGATGATGGTGACGGTGATAGCTAAGGATGATGGGCTGTGATAGCTGCTGGCATAATATACATTTCGATGGGGAGACGCTTGTGCCTAACTAACACTGAACAACAAATGGCACTAGGATACATACCTGGAGACAGTATTGACAGCCATATTCCTCGTAAAATAAACAGGAGAGTGGAGAGATAGGCATGATATTTCGGCTACATGGCTTTATCGAAACGAATATCAGTAGGAAATTTGCTACTGATGTACAGACCGCAGGATTTCTATCGTCTGCACGGTTATCGCAAAAATCTGTGCATGGTGTACAACCACAAACATTTTTGACCGTAATCAGTCTTACATGTCTATCTCGAATTCTTAAATGGCAACATTTATGCACATGCATATTGGAGTCTAAAACATAATTTATATCAGGGGGAACAGAAGCCCTCCATGCACACTCCTTAATACATCATTGGCTACTACCACTTCAGTGTGATGCAAAATTAAATTCTGTGTTTACATGTAACCTAGGGATGTCGCGGACTCCCTACAAAGGAGCCTGAAAACTTCTTAGATGTTTGCGAAAGTCCCTGGCGAACCTAACTAGCTTGCAAACTCCCTACGGCAATCCACGAAGCGCCCTGGCATGCCAGGAAATTTTCTAGTTCTCCGGACAGTTTCCTATTCCCCAATACCTGTAATGCAACATATGTAACCGCATGTGATCCATTAGATAACTTAAAGATTATGAAAGGGATAGACAAGGTACACCTACAGGGCACTGGAGAGTAGGCCGAGACTTAGAGGAAACTAGCCTCAATTAGCAAAAGGTAGGAATAGAGATGAAAAGTAGGAGTAGAGATGAAGATGAACTGTGAAGAGGCAGATGTCACTTAATCAAAGAACAGGCGTATCACTGGAATTGACTGCAACACGAAGTTGTAGAAAGTCCCTCTTTTAGCATTATCAAATCATTGGGACAAGTTCTATCGGTCCAAGATATCATTTAAAGCTAAATTCAGGCAGGTCAGGTGGTGAGATGAGCGTCGAGAATGTGTACAAAGCCTAGCGCAGGCCAACCTCGCTGGGCCCTTGTGGCTCTTTGTTGGCCTGCCATTTCGTCTTTATCTTTAAAATACTGGTTTGAAGATCCCGTATCGGCTCCAGCACTTGCCTTCATTTGTTCATCGGGCTTGGAATCAGGATGGGGACGTAGTATACCGCCCAACGTCACCAAGCTGCCCAAGTTGCAGAGAGGGTTACGACCGACGCAAGCACGGTCCTTCGTGATCAGCAAACGTCGCAGCTCATTCAAACCCAGCCAGGTACTCCTCGGAAGCGCCAGTTTAAAAAACATTGCCCTCGCCATTATATTCTCAGCTTTTCATCATTTATACAAAGTTCTGAAAACGAGTGCCACGGCATTGGAAATCGCAGTTTCACCGGACACAACGCTCCACGGCAACCACACATGCGCAGTACAGTCGATGAAGCCCAACCACGGAACACCACATCACCGAGGCGATTCGCGCAGGATGGGCAAGCCCAAATGAGTACAGTCCATCCGAAATGAGTGTCTGATGGAGATACAGTGAAATAATAGACGGTGTTTGTTGGTTGACGAAAAAGTTGGCCAGAAAATGTAACCGCCCGTCATAGCGTGAAAAACGCGGCCGCTGCTGGTCACATGCCATGAAAAACGCGTGTATCATCGGACGCACTGGTGGCGCACTTCACAATACATGCCCAACGAAGGAACCTAATAGGCTGACGCCCAAAACGGCATCATTCCAGCGAGGTGAAACTATTGTAGACAGCAGCACACTGGTGGCAACACCCTTAAAGCACGTAATTAAGCCTGCTGACCGGAACCAAGCGCCGTATCTCTTCCTGGGACAGTTTGTGTGAGTTCTCCAGGTGTCTGCGCAGGTTGGCCACCTTGCTGGAGACCTTGCCACAGATGACGCACGTCGTCAGGCCTTCATGAACCTTCTTGTGCAGCTGCCAGGGAGCTCACGTGGAAGTACTTGCGACCGCAGACATCGCAGAACAGCGGCCCTGCGGAGGACGAGCGGTGATGACAGACGACGAGAGGAGGCGGTGATGACAGACGGGGCGGTGATGACAGACGCCGAGGGGAGGCGGCGGTGATGACAGGCGCCGAGAGGAGGCGCCGCCCTGGCACGGAGCGCCTGGTGGCTTTTTAGGAACGCTTCGCACGCCGTCTGGCGCGCTTTTTAGTCCTTTTCTTCCCTATGTACTGCCAGCGACTGCAGAGGTCATATTGGCACCTACAGGACATGACTCTATTGGAATTGTGACCCAGGTCGTCACGTGGGAGCCGCTAACCAGCCGGCCATTACGCCCGTGGAGTGACTGCTGTTGGATATGGGATCGGAGACGGCACAGCAGGAGGAGCACGCACGTCACCGGCGTCAATCGGTACGCTGACCAGTGACGTCACAGCCCAGCGCAGGCGTGCCGGCAGTCAGCCACAGGATTCGCCAATGCCGCTGAATTGGACCGCAGCTAGCAGGCTTCAGTGGTTTAGCTGCCGTCGGTAGCGCACGAGGTGCGCAACGATGATTCGTGTGTGTGTCATTGCGGCTTGTCAAGACGCATTCAGTTGCTCAGGCTATATGGCGTCGCCTGCCTCTCACCCTGGTAGGAGGAGCGGGAACCGCGGGGAATCGAACCTCACACCTCTGGTTTCCCAGACACGCTGTGGTTAACTCAGACGCGTTAACCACACTACCGGCACCCCCTCAATGATGATTCCAGATCTGATTAAGCGGAACAAACTACACTGCAAAAACGCGATTTAGCCCCGCATGTCTTCTGGAACATTTGTACGATAAAGGTTAAGCGGTCTCTTGTTCAATTCTAAGTGGCCTCGCACCCGTTTCGACAGTCACTTCCACTTACGAAATGACATGGTACGATGACTCTCATCAAAGGTAGATGCAGAAGCCCATGGCAGATGCCCAAAGGCAGGTGCAAATGCGCACAAGACTGGACAAGACTGCGTACAAACCTACACCACTGGATCAAAGGCAGCTGACGAAAACTCCGCAAGGAGCCTCATGGCAGCGGGAATCACGAGCAACAGGAGCTCGTAATGATATCCGTTACGTAAAGGGATCATCGTTCTCTCCATGAAGAAAAGACGCTTGGCTCTGGTTTAGGTGATGCTCCGGCACACCACTTGTCTCTTGTCACGGAATTATCTTACTCAAGTCACGTGATATTATTTCAAAAAGTGCTTGCGGGGCTGTTATCGATAACTGTTGTCGATTGCTATATAGGCTCATAGTTAACATGCTATGCATTGCCTGACGTGAGTTCCGAGATTAACCCTGGTCACTCAGATATAAAATGGCATTAAAGAAGAGTACAGGCCTTGACAACATTACTAAAATAATCACATAACACTCTCATGGCCACTACGCGTCAGGATTGTCACACGCAAAGAAATACAAATGGGTTACAAATCACAGATTTTTCAAACTTTACGCCGCGCAGAGATATGAAGAGCAAGATGATAAGTAAGTGATTTAGAGTGCGAATAAGTTGAAACCTGTCGTGCACGTGCAAAAAAGCTTAAAACTTAACTCGCACCAGTCCGTTACGGTTCACTGAATGGTTCCGCAGCTTTTCACGAGTGATACTTGGGAGTGTTAGGACAAAGTGACGTCAAAGGTCATTCACGTCCAAATATCGCTGACAAACGGGGGCAGGCAAAACAGTACTGTGTACAGGCGGGATTTTTATTGATCACACGTCAGATCAGGCCCGGTTGCTGTGCCGTCGAAAAACCCGCCAACTCATGACACAGTTGTGCGATCACACACACACACACACACACACACACACCACACACATGTACATACACAAGCAGCCTCACAGCTGGATGGTTATCAGCGGACATTTCCAATATAGCCCTTTTCGGTAATGGAGGAAAGGCGCGCAGGGGCCGCATGATTACGAGCATAAGTAGACAAATGCTGTGCTTGTCGTAATCCCCAGTTCAATGATTTACTGAGCACATGGTGGTCGGGTGCGCTTGTGCTTGTTCAGGTGATGAGTGCTAAAACTGCCATCTTGTGGCATAATGACACAGAAACTGAACAATGTCGCACCTTGCTGTTCATATCTGGACCACTCAAAAGGTCGTAACCCAAACTGCGTTGCACACACCACACACACACACACACCACACACACACACACACACACATAATATATATATATATATATATATATATATATATATATATATATATATATATATATATATATATATATATATCGGTTCGTGTGCATATTACATCGCGCGCATTAAAACGCCTGACTGCTATGATGTTTGCTACGGCCAACACAATTTATTCTGTGATTATCAGTGGAAGTGGACCAGTAAGCCGACATGAATATTAAACTACCTAGTGGGTTTATGGGTGCTGCAGACCTGATCTAACACGGGGCTCCAAACGCACATGAAATATGAAGGAATTCATGCCTAAATCACAATATTGGATCATCTTTAATCACGCTGTAACAAAACCCAGTTGAATCGTTAACACATTTGATGCCTGTATTGATCATTCACTGGAAAAGCGTAAGGCCAAAGGCACCAGCTTAAGGCGAGTGCGCAGGTTCGTCCATGGGAACTGGATTACAGCGCACAAAGGGAACAGTTAACACGCGCATAACGCAGCAGCGGGACCCCAGGAGCACCAACAATCAGACATGTGTCTGAAGCTAGAAACAGATTCCAGGATACATATACACGAAACTTTATGACATCCGGGAACCTACCCTTGAGACCCAAAGACATGTCTGCCAACAATTTAATTAAAATAACTCAGATTGCTCACACTAACGTGCCAAAGTTGAAGTCATTGGGTAAAAGTAACGTCCGATGAGTCGGCTTTTCAGCTCTTACACTCGGTCTTTGCCCTTGACATAACGTTTGCCTGGCGCGATGCGCTGGTAAAAGTGGTCGGTAGTATTCCTCATATTTTTTATTATTATTCCAGAACCAATGGAAGTCAACGAAACCACTACGCTGATAACTCATGAAGTAATTGATGAAACGGACAATGAAGCGAGTTATAACCATAAACAAGTTACGTCCATGTAAATATCGGTAAAACTTAATTCCTTGTGATGTGGAAATCTCGTACAAGCCATTTAACTCTTCGAACCCAGCTTTCACACAGGCTGCCATGACCGCGGGTAAGACGGTAGTCTACCGGTTACCGATTACGATTCGGAACGATACTAGCTATGTCTTCCTTGGATAGCTTGTGCACTGTGCGAAGATGCACTCGCAAGTCGAACACTCTGTTTTGCACTTTGCCGCAGATGACACACGTTGTCAGTCCCTGGTGCACTTTTTTGTGGAGCTTCAAAGAGCCGGTGTGGGAGAACATTCTGCCGCACAGATCGCAGGAGACGGAACCTGCGAAGCACAGACCGCAATGAGTGGTTCGGAAGCTAAACTCTGTAAAACAATGAATTTATCCACATTCGAAAAATAGATGATCAGAAATCGCATGACGGGCTTGACTGTGGTCGGGTATTACTGGAGCCTGGAATCAGACAGCGTTTTCGCCACGAAGCCGACACATCAGTAATAGTGTCAAAGACCCGCCAACAGCTTGTTGAGGTGCGGAAATGCTGCTGTTACGGCGTTTACTGCAGCGAAATTACTGCTGACATCCACAGGTGGCATGTGTCTAAGAATTAAACTACGTGTGCCAAGTTATGTTTCCCAATGAGCTTGCCCTGTTACATCAGTAGGATCATTCGACGTTGCTGTCAAGCTTCTGAGGCAATGTCGCGAAAGAAGCGGATGAGGCCGCAAATGTGTCCCGACACGATGAATCTCTCGACTTAACAAAGCTCTTTCAACACTATGAGATGAGTGCCTTCATTTTCCAATGGAGGCCATCTTTGCAATCGCATTCTTTCAATTGCTCCTTCCTTCTGGTTCTCCCTGTCTGCTGTAGAACTGATTCACATATCTTCTAGATACCGAGTTCCATGTTTATTACGGCAACACAATATAAAAATGAAAACAAACCACCATCCACCACGGCATACAAACATGGGGACACCAAAGACATGTCTGGGTGACAAGTTTCTCCACACGTCCGGACAATTTGACAAAATACTTTTGGTGTGGCAATGAAACGCATTAAAATCACCAACGTCCCCTCAGTCGGCAACTGCCGGAGAACTCCGTGAACGCAACCAACACCGCCCGGCAGACGTACACCAGGGAACTGACAACAGGGGAAACACAATACAATACACTGGAAACAAACCACCAGAAACAGTATGTATTGAGCTTCGAGCCAAATGATTTCCACAGATTGAACATTCGGTCTTCAGAGAATCATACGGACAAAGATCACTGCTAGGCTTGCACGTATATGTTAGTCGCGTGATGGGACGTTGGCGTATGCGTGATCGCGTCTCTGCGCGCTTTGCATACGCGTGCTTTTGTGCCGAGGCATGTGCAGGTAGTGTCCATGAACGTCTCGCATACACATTTTCCAAACTTTCACCAAACGATCGATAACAAGATGACGGGCAAGGTTGTGGCGCCATTAAGTCTCAACGTTTGCGATGTGGAACAATTTTCTTGACGTCGTCTTTTGACAGCCGATGAACCTGGCGCAGATGCGCCCTCAAATCGGCCACTTTGTTGAGCACCTTTCCACAGAGCGCACACGTCGTCAAGCCCTCGTGCACTTTCTTGTGCAGCCCCAGAGACACGGCGTGCGCGTAGAACCGGCCACACACGTCGCAGGCGAACGCACCTGGGGAAGGTGGAGCGTCAGGTGACTGGAGCGTTCAACACTGGCGTGTTACTTGCATGGCAGCAGCCCCGCCCCGGCAGGTGATCATCTGAACAGCATGCTTCCACGCATGTCCAGCTGAAACGACTACCAGCCATGTTCACCTGACACAAGCAGTTCCTCACAGCCAAGCGCTCTAAAAACCTAGGCAGACCGTTGAGTAGACCGTTGAGTTTGATGTAGCTTTCAAGGGACTTCCAGATAAGTATGGAGTTCTGAACTGACACACCTATTTTCAAGACCGCTGTCTGCCGTTCACAGCCATGTCCTATTTCAGACTTCAAACTCCTTGCTTCTAAGCTTGACGCATGCGAACCTGTGCAACCTATTTCGCGCCGCCTATCTGAAAGTTATTCAACACGTACGACGCCACAGCAGCGTCGCGCGAGTGTCCCCACCTCGCTGGTTGAATTATGTCCATAGTAAAAATAAGCCCACCAAAAGAGTCCTTTTTGCAGTCATTCAGCTCCAGTGTACCAACGATGGCAGGCAATTGGCCAGCATGAATATTTAGCTGCCGATCGCATGTATCGATTACGAACCGCGTTTTGTGAGAAATAACGCAGGCATTCAGGCAGAAGCACTGGTTATGACGAGCATGAAGCTGGGAATCGAGAGTTTAAGGAAAGCGTCGTAGCCGAAAATTCAAATGTAGGTCATGAAGAGACCATCACGGGAAAATATACAAGTACACCACGAGGCATGGTAAAAAAACAAACACACGTTCATATCACGCAAAAACGAAAAATGTATGCGTCTTGAACAACGCCACCCTGCAGCGCGAAGAAGCACGAGTAAGTCGGACAACGACTCTTACGGCATAAAACGTCCCACGACGTAATCAAACGATGACGTATTGAAAAGCATGCTTACTAAAGAGTAAAATTGTGTTGTTTAGAGCACCTTTTGCACTTAAAAGCATACCAATAGCCCAAGTGTGCTTTTTCAATACATGTGATGCTTGCCCCAATATCTTCAAATGTGGAACGGTCCATTTAAGTGCCAGGTGTTCTCACATGGACAATCTGTCCACTCACCTTTCCACATATGTCACAACAAAGCGCCGCGCTACTGACTGTGTATCCAGGATTCGTACACCTTTCCCATGGCTCTTTCTACACGCATTACAGGCGGGTGTTGACACATCAGCTGAGTCGTTGGTACTGGAACCACGCCTAGAGCGCACCGGACCAGGGATGTTCGGAAGCGATATTGCCAGTGAACTGAGCATAAGCACACGCCCTGGTCACCAGATCGCCCCTCCGCAGGCTGGCATAAAGATACCAGCACAGGCTGGCATAAAGATACCAGCTGATGTAGATCAGCGCTACGGCAAATATCCGACGAAATGCGCAGAGCTGGATGGCGATAAATGGAATCAGTAAGACTGAAAGGACGCCACGTCCAGTAGACTGTCAAAGGTGGTCATGCACTTCACCGATCACTAAAAGGAGATAATCATTCGCCATCTCAGAACGCGAAGACTTGATTTACGCGTCACCATGGACTTCTCTTTTCCGCACTTCTTCTTCGAATGATCTTATCACCTAACGAAGATTGACTGCCATGTTTCGCTACTTTTAACCATTTTCTGAACCATTACACAACCTTTGAACAGTGCGTTTAAGGACACAGGAGGGAAAACGGAACATTAACGCGCATGAGCTAAAATGTACATATAACCGAGAACTGAACTAGTGCTATGTGAGAACGCCATTCACCAGTCACGCACGAAACAAACCATTCAACACTTACAATAAGCGGGACAAGCACATGCCAGGGAATACCATTCCCTGTCTCCGAAAGCGTAGATTCTGGCATGATGCCATATACTTCAGTCGTATAGAAGAAGCCAACTGTCTTGTCGGAATTTATTTTAAAAGTCTATATGCCACAGTCGTCGAAGACACAGCCGCAACTAGTCGCAGCTTAATACTTAAGTTGTTTGGGACGCGGCGCCACATCAGGAAGTCATGATGAGCACAATAACTCAGACTACATATACTCAGCTAACAGGCGAGTGGGACTGGTTTCGTCTCCTTGCAGACATGCGATAACGCCTTTTGTGATAATCAAACATGCTTGGCGATGATTCTCAGTCAGACTGTGTTCACGTGTACACGGGCTCGATGGTCGACATCACATCCCCTTTATGAGTTCGTACGTTGAAAATGACCAACCTGCAATGCACCAGATAACCGGCACTGGCATACCTGCATTGGCATACCTGCATTGAGTTAACTGAACTGATCTTAACTATCATCAAAACACATTGCCAGTGAACCTTTGCCACATACCGCCATTTTAAAATCTCTACAGTATCAGTACGTCCCGGCACACTATACGCCGGCTATTTCCAATATAAAAACGTGTAATGACGAAACGCCTGTGGTTAGATGCCTTGCTCATATGAAAATACATTTCGATATTTAAAGCAATGCGTCGTAAATGAGATAAAATGAACACGAACACGATCCGTGGCAAACCGCGGCCAACAGCCGAGCCCGACATCCTCCCTTCCAAGCTAGGCTCACAAATCGGGCTTGCACGTGGCTCTAGCCTCGTTGGCACCTGTCGTGCATCTTCAGGTCACAACTGGTGGTCGCCTGTCGCCGCCGCGGTCCTGCAGCACCCGTCCGAGCAGCAGCTTCAGACGGCGGCACCGCTGCGCCTGCTCGGCACCAGGCTCCAGATGTGCTCGGCCGACAGGTGGTGCACCTTCTCCATGTGGCGGCGCAGGTGGGCCACGCGGCTGGCCACTACGCCACACACGGGACACGTGGTCAGGCCCTCGTGCACCTTCTTGTGGTGTTCCAGCGAGAGGGCGCGCGAGTACAGCCGGCCACAGATCTCACAGGCCACACCGCCTGGCGAGACAGAGCACGCTCTTAGACATGGGCGGCGGCAGCACCGGAGCCACGGTACATGGGGCGGCGCTGGGCGGGACCTCTGAACCGATACTTGGATTTTGTCACCCTTCTTGACCCACCAAGAGCATGCAACGGCGAATCAAGCTGCCAGGGGCCATACCAGTGTGCGTTCTTGCAGCATGAGCACCAGAGGTGTCGTTTCCTGTTCAACCCCCCCCCTCCACACTTGAGCTACAGCCCCCCCCCCCAACATTGAGAAGAAAGTGGGCCAAATTTGGAGAGAAACCCGTCTGTTGACGTGTTTCGGGGTATACTGCATATTTGTTTTCACTACAACGCCCCGCCCCCCCTACATTCATTTCGCGAAACTATGCCCCTGATGACCATCTATTGTCTTGCACCCATAAATCAACATACCGAGTACAAACTATGCGCATAGGGGGTGCGAAGCGAGGTCCCCGCAGCCGGTTACATCACTTAGTTCGCGACACTTAGGAAAACGCAGAACGCAATGAGCATCACGACTTGCCAATAAACGCTCTAAGGAGCGATGTCACACTGCAGTGGGTGAGACCTCGTTTACTTCGCAATACACGTGATCATTGATCCACAGCCCCAGGTCCTCCACGATCAATCCACAGCACATAGCGAGCCTTCCTGAGGAGACCTCTAGGCCCGTCACGTCTATTGTTACCTTACATGTACGTTCACTCGAGCATCCTCAGTTAATAGCCTGCATGAAAGCTTGCTCCTCAGGAACATGGCACGTGTTTCAGTGTCGTGTGATCCACACACAAGGCAAGGAGCTGGTGCTCAGACCAGAGCGAAGCCGCTTCGCAGCCAGAGCACGAGCCCGTGCTCGGACCAGAGCGGAGCCGCTTCGCAGCCAGAGCACGAGCCCGTGCTCGGACCAGAGCGGAGCCACTTCGCAGCCGGAGCAGGAGCCCGTGCTCGGACAAGAGCGAAGCCGCTTCGCAGCCAGAGCCTTTCCGGCGCATAGTCAAAGATGCCCGACATCACTTACCAAACCTCTCGGGTACAATGTGCAATGGCCAACAAAGCTCAGCGGTTGTAGCCCTCAGGCCAATTGCCATTGTCAACTTCAAACGTTGGCTGCGTCTAGACTTATCACGGATTCACAGTTCCTCAGCGCCAAAATATTTCAGAGAAAAGGAAAAAGCAGTAACAGACAGCTTATTTTCGACAGCTTTCGTAAAAACTGCCAAAAAAGTTTAAGTCCCTTTAACTTATAAGGCTCATTCCATTCAACAGCAGGCCGACCAAACTCTTCCTCATCATCCGAATTAAGTCTACGAGGTTCTTACAGCGAATGCATTAGAAGCTCAAACGGAAACTGAAAATATCAAAAAACATACATAGTCACATGCATATGCTAGAAATGTACACAATTTCTGACCCCCATTTATGTTACAATTGCCTTCGAAGAGAGTGTGAATTCGGAACCGACAAAAATTAACGTAATGATGCGTGCATTTTTACCTCAAGATATCATGCCATAAATGTTTATCAATAGCCTAAATAAGCCACCTCGAACAACCAGCCACAATACTGAAACAAACAGGTCCCATCAACATGTCCAACAAACGCACGATATATCCTGCAAATTTTGCAATCGTGCAGCATACCATCCCGCTAAAGGCGACGAACTGGCCTATTGAGTCTGACGCCGTGACGAATGGCAGACCAAAAGAGCAGACACCACGCAAGCAAAGTATGACTTCCGTCGCCACGCAATCCCCTCGCCTCTTGCCAGATCACACACGCACGCAACGAGGCCTGCTCGTGAGGCACGCTCCTTCACTCTCGGTACACCTCAGGGGGACACTGAGACGGCAGGGCGAGAGGCAGTCCCAGCCGCTCCTTCGGCTTGGTGGGGACAATCCTCCGGACCTCTTCCTGAGTCAGGACCATGCACCAGCTCGAGGTGCCGCCGCAGTTCCGCCACGATACAGCACACTTTGCCGCACATGTAGCACGTCGTCAGTCCCTCGTGTTTCTTCTTGTGGTGGTTCAGCGATTCGCGGTGTTTGTAGATCTTCCCGCAAACGTTGCACATGTGTTTCGACTGGTCTGAAACAAGACAGACGTTCCATCAGAGAGAGAGCAGAATGTACATTATTCCGCAACAGCATCTCTTCATTTGGCTCCGTAGACAACGCGCATCCCCGTAACGGCTTCGTGGTATTCCGCACTATTATGCGTGTTGAAGAGAGCTTCCGTTAACGAGTAAGTAACCGTCAATTATTCAAATAACACGCCTTATGCCTGACAACTATGTATTTAGCCTGCACATACAAGAAAACCACTGCACACTTGTGCCAATCAGCGCACATTCTTATTGAGGGCAGAACAATGCGACCTTTTACGCGTGAGCCTTTGCCACAGATGGGTCGTCAACTTATATGTAGTAAGTACACTACACCAAGATAGGGTCACAGTTCAGATGTAATTAGTTAAGTGTCACATAGAAAACAAAAACGGATGTTCACATAGACAGAGGTACCCAGGTCGTCTTGATCGCGATGTCTCCGTCGCATCGGTCTACTACCTTGTTAAAAGCAATGTTCCACATCTGAAGATATTGAAGCATGCCATATATGTAACGTAATGAGCTCACTTACAGCTATTGGCGTGTATATATGTATATATATATATATATATATATATATATATATATCCTGTCGTGACGAACATTAAAAGGGAATGCTCCACATCTGTGTAGGACTTTGAACTCAGATGAACAATTTTGAAGATCGTTCGGTGCATTTCACAGCCCTACCCTTCCTAAGACTTTAAACCATCAGGTTTCTGAGCTACACGCTCCGAAGACGTGCAGGCTTTTCCGTGGTCATTCAGGCATGCTTGCCGCCATAATACCGTCAGTTCGCCACCCATTGGCCAAGCAGCATCGCTAGGCTAAGAATATAAACGCAGAGCCGTTCTATCTGGCGCTCTTAAGCACAATTTCGTTACATAATGCACGCCAATTGGCCCTCAGTGGATGTTGATCAGGTTGTGCATTTCGCTCACGAATCACGTTTTGTGCTACATAATACAGGAAGTTGGACATGGTTATCAGTTATCGCCGAAATAACACTAGTAAGTCGAATTATGTAAAAACAGCACCATAACCGAGTGTGTGAATAAAAATAAGCAGGCTAAGCCCACGGATAAATATGCAAAAACACCACGAGAAAGGACCGAAACCCAAACACATCACGATATTTGATTCAGCAACAAACACTTGTAGCACCGCCGAGGCCACCTCCCGGGAGATTCAAGTGCTACAAATGAGTGCTTGGATATCAATTTCGCGCGGCTAGTTTGGCAGCACCTCAACGTTACACAAACGCCCGCGACGCAATCAAACCATGAAGCATTGAGAAGCATATTTACTAAATGAAAAATTGTGGTGCAAAACAGCCTTACGCGATTAAAGTACGCCAATGGAGAAAAGTAAGCTTATTTCATCACGTCTAATGCTTGCTTCAATATCTTCAAAAGTGGAACATTCCCTTTAATTCTGACGGTGCAGTTCTTATGCCAGGTAGCGTGACCACCAAAAAGACGCAGGGGTGACAAGATAACTCCACACAATAGTGAGCCGACACCATGGCCCACTGGACCACTTATTCCCCCGCCTGCATTGGCTGACTGACCAAATGTACAATCACTTCAAGCGTACTGCGTACAGACGAAGCTTTAACTCACACAGGCGAAGCCACTGCCCCGTCCATTTGCCAAGCGACTTCTCAGAACTCTGCAACCAATGGCTGGATGAAGTCGTCGGTGTTTCTTCGTTTGTGACTGAAATGAAAACTGAGTGTTTATGGTGGTGTACGGTATGATACCTCATGTAACAACGAAAACTAATCCCAGTTGTCTGGAAAACTGCAGAATGTCTGTATTCAAGATGCGCACACAAGCCGACCAAAAAAGGTAGTGCGTTATAAAAAAGCACATACGGCGTCGACATGCAGCATTCTGCTAGGTAGACGTGTTACGCATAGCTCTTACCCAACCCCATCGACATGTTAACCATTTCAGAACAACATGCTAAAAGCACTGAGATAGGAGATCTCCTACAGCACATCGATGCGTTTCGGAGTGATGCATCATTTCTGTGCATGCACTTTTTGCGGTTTTTTGAACAATGTCGGTAGCCACGTGGTTCAAAGGCGTTAATGACAGGAAGCTTCAACACTGACGAAGAAATAACTTACGGACCTTTGAGGGGTAACCCACTCAATGTGACCCGACGGATACGCAAGATTTCCATACCGGCAGTTCGGGGTGTCACAAACTACGGGCTTATGGTCCATAACTGAAAACGGATACAGCCGTTGTCGGCTTTCATCCCGGACCTTGAGGCTCATATGGTTGGCAGCAAGCGGCTGAAAGTTTCTGCCATCCGGCCTCCATCAGCTAGAGCCGTTGGCAGAAACCACGGGCAGCAAAATTGCAAGAGCTCAAACGCGGGAAAATACGCGCGTAAACGGAGTCACCTGTAACAGCAGCAGCATGATCGCAAGCAAACTGCACCTTGAGCAACGTTTGTGATGCTTCCGTGATGTCTATCTTGAGAATACCGTGACCAGAATGAGGAGCGCTTGAGAAAAACCGCACGCCGTTAAATGTTGATGAAAAGTTGCGCTGAATAACTTGCTGCTTACATCAATGAAGTTTGAAAACACTACACATCCCTCGAAAGGATGCCAGTTAATGTAACGTCTGAACTGAAGTCCTTTGACAGACAAAATCTTCTAAACCGACTTTCGAAAGTCTGCGCATTCTACGCCAGTAGCACCTTGTATCCCTTGGGGATGTTATAAAGCAATGTGATGTTCCACATCCTGGTGAAAGGCAATTCACTATGCCCTCATAGTGAACTGCCCTTGATACATAGTTCTCGAGTTCTAATTCATGTACCAGTTATAACAAATAAGGCATGTATTCTAATAATACCATTGATGGTT